AGAGAGGCACTGTGAGAGTTAAGTGTCTTGCCCAAGAACACAACACATTGTCCCCAGGGCTCGAACCCGGACCGCTCGATCCAGAGACGAGCGGACTAACCATGAGGCCACCGCACCTCCCCGATCGCAGGGTTACTTCCACAATATTAAATTTGCCAGTACTTACTTATACACCTGAGTGGAAAGAGGCACTGTGAGAGTTAAGTGTCTTGCTCAAGAACACAATGGTCCCAGCCATGGCTCGAGGCCAGACTGCTCGAGATAGAGAAGAAATATAAAAATCAAATAACAAGTTGTATACACAGACAGCTTATAATTAAAAAAAAAAAAAAAGGATAATAATTAATTTTGATTGAAATTGGAACGTTGTCAGCATATTAACTTGTACATAATGTAGTGTCAAAGAATAACAACAGTCTGTTTCAAAATGAAATCATTAAATGACAGTTCACCATATTTACCAGTCAGTCAAAAATTGACAATATAATTATGTATATGAGTCAGCAGTGCATTTCGGGTCAAGGTAAGTTGGTTATGGTCCTTGTTCAGTTAACATTAGGAAACAGCTGTATAACAATGATTACTGTTATGCAAAAGTTACAATACATGATTTTGAAATTTATTTTAGACAATCAACTTGAGAATTCCAGGACTGCCAAGAGCATATTGCCCAGTTTCACTTAAGTGAGACATAGATATTGACAAAATCTTGTTTCCTTTAAGCTAAGTCAAACATCAACAATTTGATTGCAGCTTGCGGGTAAACAGGAAATCTATAGAAAAAATATTAAGTATTTCCTTCAATATTATAAGAATGATTTCAGACAGTTTTGTTTCAATCATGAACCTGAAGTGAAGGGAATGTTTTTATTTACAATTTATAAGGTTTTTTTTTCTATAGAACTATGTCCATGGAGAGGAGGAAGGGAAGTAACAAAGTTTTGTACAATGAGGCTCTGGCCTAAGGTCAAAGACCTATCCATTTTACAGTGTTTTTAACAGGAAAGGCTTTCCTTTCATATACGTGTAGCTTCTAGCCTGAAACCCCTTTCAAAAACCTAATGTGGCCGACTAGATCTTATTTCTGGGATAAATAATCAAAATTATTAATGTTTGAAATCTCTGTCCTGTTAAGTCTTATAATACCTACAGCCTGAAAAAAAGTGCACCTTTAGTCAACTGTGGGAAGAAGTCCCCCAGCTTGGTGCAATACAATAATAAGGATACTACGTATTGAAGTGCATGCAAGTAAAATAACGATAATTTTCTTTCTTGGAAACGAAAATCACAGTATTTTATTCCTATATATCTTGGAGGATAATTGTTTGTGCTAGTCTCACTAGCAATGCAGCAATATTCAAAAGGATTGCAGATATGTCTCTGTCAATAGATTTTTGCAACAATTACAAAACATACTTATGTTGACAAGTATCAAGCATTCTCTTCTCCATAATTCAAGTTTTGATGTCAATTTGTTTAAATCTATCATTTTTAGGAGCAAAAAAAAATTTACATCACCAGCCACCATGCGTCCGCCTTTTTGACACAATTGGACAGCATATCTTTCTCGCAAACAAATAGATCTACAACAGTCTCTTGGACTTAATTTGTTCATCCATCACTAAAATATTGCAGTGTATATTTACTCAAACGTACATGTAGGTTGCCTTGCATATCATCCGTGAAGAAATTTTCACTCTGGTCGAGCTGCATGGAATACAAAAGAAATGTAGTGTGAACGACAACAAAACTAAAAGATAATGCAATTCAAATTTTTTTTCCCCTAAGTATTTAAAAACAAGCTTACAAATTTCGAGCTTGCGATACTAACACAGGCAGAATTTCTATGTGTGCGTACAAAATAAAACAATAAAGAAACGATGAAACCAAAACCTAACAAGAATTTAAGCTTACCTTAGATTACACAACGAGAGAAAGCGAGTGGAAACCATCAAATTCTCTTTCCAAGAAAAAAAGCTAATCACGATCTCACTTTCTGGCTTTGTCTTCCCGGATGTCTTTTATCAATTCTTTGACCTCGCCGACCGTGCTGTTGTGAACGATACATGACCACAGTCAGAAATACCTCTACCAGCTTTCATCTAGGTGTGAGCAAAAGCTGATAGGCAAAAAAACAACATATTTACGAACGAAAATCACATGAACCCAAAATAGCCGACTTCAATCTTCGAGGTGATCGACAAACTCGCACCCAAGCTCTCGATTTATCGGGCGAAAATGTACGCCTTTCTAGTACCCCCTCGGCAAAGAACCTTCCTGAAGACGACTGAACACTCTTGGATAAAAACAATACTTAGCAGGAGAGGTAGGAGAAAATTGTTTAATCCAGGTTTAATGAATAAATTAATTAGAATCGAGAGAGTGAGTGAGTGAGTGAGTGAGTGAGTGAGTGAGTGAGTGAGTGAGTGCCATCCGACTGCCTCCTAAGCTCATGGATGTTACATAACATCCATGAGCAAAAACGACAGGATTAATTTGCGCTTTTGCCATACTCAGTATGATTGAAAAATTCGCGCTAGTACAGTACCTCTTTTTTGCGGTAATTAATGGCACCCGCCGGGCGTTCATCCTAAGTGAAAAAGATTTTGGTGGGCTGGTTAACAAAGGGGTTTTCTTTTCCATCCCCCTAAACAAAACAAACGTTAATCTAGCAAAAGCTGATTCGCTCCTGCGGTTAAAGGCGCTACTTACTTTGAAGATTAGCCCACCAGGGATCAAACGTTGTCGGATTTATTTGAACTAGAGACACGGCTCGTTGCGTCCGTGGTTACATCGTAGTCAACTGAAATTGAAATAATTACGAGATAAATTATTATTTGCAACGTTCTAAATCGAAGCGACAAACGATTTCGAAACTTACAATTTGTGTTCCTGGGTGTCGGATCCCTTTGATCGCTATCTTGCTGTTTTGTTCGCGACTGTTGATTGACTTGACTGCGAATGTCCGTTACATGATAAGATTTTCCTTTTAAAACATAAGTCACATGACTTGTTTTTCCCGCCACGCGTGGTCGAGGCGATTTCGCAATTACCGACGATAATTAATTCAATTTTTTTTTTTACACGCGAATGAACATGCAAATCAAAAGCAAACAAAACCCTCCATCAATTACTATTTTCTGTTAAAATCCAACGTCAAAGAAGCCGTCAACTGCCACGAAATGACTGACACAGAATTAAGTTTTTATTGTATGCATATTTCTGCGATTGCTTTGATCGCATAGCGACACTATTCATCGACGTTAAATTCACTGTCTAAATGACTTTGTAATCGAAGTTTCGCAGACGTCCGAGATTTAAGTCTGCAGAGGTCCAGAGTTCACTCGAAAGCTATAAGCCCTGGTAAACATATTTTTTATTATTGTTTTACGGTAATGTTCAAAGTTTTATATTTTGGCATATTGATTAACGAATAAGTTCTCTCGTCAAGTAGAAGAATGAAGAAAATAACATAAAAATACATTTTAGATAGATAAAATCCAAGATGATATTAGAGAAAAGCCGGTAAAGGACAGGAGCTTTTCTCGTCAGAGAAACGACGATAAGCTGGTGAGAGTTTTTTTAAGGGTTTAATTTAAGCAATGACGACGGCGACGCCAAAGACGACGTCTAGTAAAAAATGGATTTATCTGTTACCTTCAAATTTCACAATTGTCTAGTTCTGATGAGTATGCGAATCGGTCTAAAACTCAGGAAACACGAAAAGTTAGCTGTCGTGGCTCACGTTCTCCATATCCTCAGAACTAGTTCATTTCACGTTGTTGATTTGGAGAAATTTGAAATTTGAAATTTTTTCTCATCGGCGTCGCCGTCTTTGTTGATTTAAGCTCCCTCATTAATATTGTTTTGAATGCCCGTAACAAAATGTAAGCAAAATATTGATCACGTTACTCGTTGACGGTCGACAAAATAACATGAAACAGTTTTGAATTAAGGGAGATTAGTAAGCGACAACTGCGGCGAAGGCAGTGACTAGAACAGTGCACATTTGCACTTGTCTTGTATATCTTGTTGTCTATCTTAGAGTATTTTGGATCGAGAAGTCCGGATTTGAATTCTCAAATCTAGGTATCGGATTTCTCACTAAAACACCAGAAACAAATTTTGACCAAAATCCTTATTCGAAGTCAGATTTTGATTGACAAATCCAACCTAGGGTTGTATGGATATGTAAATTTTGAGGGCTTTTTCGTTCGGAAAATCCGCCGGATAAAGGAGTTGCAAAACTGTTCTCGAGAGCAGTAGTCTCTTATCCTCCAGTTGAGGGTGCGCAGTTTACAGCAATACCTAAATAGTAGACCGTGCTTCCGATTGGGAAAGCCAGATTTCGGAATTTTCAATACAAAGCGGTTGATTTGCAGCCGAACATATCTACACACCAATGTGTGCATAATTGGAGGAAAACACACCGTGCTTACAGGAACAGTTTTGCAAATCCTATTCCAGATTTTGAAAAAAAGAAGCAAACAGCAAATCATTGAAATTCAAGTCGTTGATTGAAGAAGCTTGAAGAAAGATTTTGGGGCTTCAAAGTCTGGCTTTTAATTTCTTTTATTATTGGGAATTCCAAAATCCGGAATCAATATCCTTTTCGGAATCCTTATTACTCATTAAAGAGCACATCATCCCCTCCAAATAAACAACATTTAATTATCAAATTCTATTTGAAGTTAATTTTATTCAGGTTCTTTATCAGCCGTATTTTACAGGTTGTTGATCATTGCTGAGCAAGTTTCATTTCAAGGAAGCCAGTACGAAAGGATGAAACTCAGCCTGAAATCTTCGAAATCTCTACTTCTACGCTTTGGGATTATGATTCTCGTACTACTCGCTGCTGGAAGATATCTTTGGAACGGTCCGGGTGCGGGCCCATCGTTTCCAGAGTACTCAACTTCAAATCAATCCTCATCAGGTAACTTTACCATAAATTGAATGCCTGAAAATTATTAGTATGAGCTTATTGACTAACTGGGTGGACGGAGAAGGGAAATTTTTAAGTCTAGACATACCGAGCGCGGACGGAGCTCAGTCTAATCTGCGATCATCAGGCGCTCAATAACAGGTTTGACCAAGCGCAGCGAGTTCCGTTCATCCAACCGAGAGCCACCGTTCGGTCCAACCCAACTCAGTGATTTCTTTTTCTCTTTTTTCTTATAGCACCTTGCTAAGCTTGATTTCCTCAGAAATCATGAAACATTTTCATCGATTGGTCTGAATTGCATGCGCTAAAGAGATTTTTGACATGTGCGGTACTGGAGGGCTTTTTGCAGAGAAGCTCATGTCAACCTGACTAAGTCTTAACAAATTAACAAATTAGTTTCTCGGTAGGATTAAGTGAGAAGAGTCACGGTCGTACAGTGATATAGCAAAGTACGGTAGTTTATCGTGGTAAGAAAATACAGAACATGCTTCGCATTTTGACTGAATAAAACCAACAACATCTGAATCTGCCATAATGAGTGGCTGAAATACATCATGACAACGACTTCTCCAGTTGGGACTAATTTGATCATGCGACAGAAACCGGAGATAAGCAGCGGTCTGACGAGCCCATGCAGACCTCACTTTACTTGATCACAAAAAATTTATAAACCCATAGAGTTATCCTTTTCAAAGGGAACGGTAATTTTGTGATAGTAACTGCCAAGCACTTGTTTGACTTTTTCACTCCATTGTTGCTGCTG